TGCCATGATGAAGAATTAGGTTTTCAGAGACCAGCTCTGATACCATTAAGTCTTTCTGAGGGAATTGATCTTATTTTCACTTATTAAACCGAATAAAAAATACAAGATGATATAGAAAAGATCGCTCCAATATGAGAGCCATGAGACCCGAACCAAATCAACCTAATAAAGGAAAATCCTCCACTAAACTGGGAAGGAAATAAACGATGAGATTTGGTAATATTCTACCATAACCTCCTTATTACTACTTACTAGAAATACAAAACATACAATCCCTAAAATTCCTAACTAACTCTAAGTGAGAATTCCACAAGAAAGTGAAAAACGGCTTGCAACCATAAGAATCTTTTTTTCTTGACCAAGACATCTACACAAGTCAAAAGCATTCTTCATGAAAAGAAGCAAACAAATAATGAACCAGACTATTGAATAGCAAACCACATGTTAGGAAATTATTTATCCTAAAACGTGTCTTTACATTCTAGCGCTTTGCCATCACAATTTTGGCCAAACCTGTACCTCAATTGGACTAGCTCAATATAAGGAATATTTATTTTTAACTAGAAGCCCCAAACACCAAAGATTTATGTTAGGAGGGCCGAATACATGGAAGTTGATAACAATTACAAAATGCATATGTTGAATTTCACTAGTACCATGTTAGATACTAGCTCTTACGAAGTTACAGACTGAGGAGTAAAGTGGAGAGAAAGAAAATGAATTGGGTTTGGATGTAATTTCTTTAGTGCTGATTTGTCGTGATTTTGACTAGGATTAGAGGCAAGGTATAAAAGGGAGGTAATGGCAGAGCTTCACTGTGATTTAGGAGGATTTTGGGAAACTTTGGAGAGCTGGTGGTCTCTCGAATACCACCGAGTGTACTTCTCCAGAGTCCTCGAACACTCCAGGCTATCCTTAGTGTACCCTTTTAATTTTCCTTGTTTTGATTGTGTTCTGTGTGCCAGCTGAAGTGAAGTGATCAATAAGGCTTCGTTTGGTATGACGGTTCAAATTAGGGTGATTCTAGTTTTAATTTTGGAATCAGAACCATGATTCATAATTTTGGGTCAAAATCATGGCTCTGAAACCAGAACCAGAATCAGAGGTTTGAACCACCCAAAACCAAGGGGGGAGGTGGTTTTAGAATCAAGGGTGATTCTAGTTTAAAACATCACATCAAAGTTCAAATCTTGAAGAAGAACGATCCAAACCAAACACTGATCTGGATGAGTCAAATCAGACCCACTTTTTACTTTTTATAAACAAACACTAGTTTGAACCATAATCATAATTCTGGATTCTAGAACCCTTATACCAAACGTGCTCTAAAATATTTTTGATTTCATCCAATTTTATTATCAATTTCTGGTCTCTGAATGTGTTTGGGGTTGTTTGGCTTGGATTTTAGGTACCTAATTTTGGTTTCAGAAGGTGCGCAAAGAAGCCGGTAACGAGCAGATCCGAGGAGATCCGCAAAGGGGAGCCCAGCTCGGCGCCAACCTAATCGTAGAGGCTGTAGGGCCGCCTTGGAAGGTGGTTCGCGACGACGGTTAGGAGCCAGGAGAAGGCGAACTGGATCTGCACAATAGGCGTTAGGAAGTTGGAAGATTTGAATAGAACCGAGAGGTTCCACGACGGGACGTGCAAATCGGTGACGATCTAAGTTTGGGTCAGCCCAATCTTGGTCGAAATCAAGCGGAACAATGCCGCGTAGGACAAATCGGAGGTGATTTAGGGGCATAGGCGCCATATCTGCTTCGTGAAGGAGTTAGGCAACTTGGGGAATTTGACCGGATCCGTGGGGATCCACTGTGGGATGGACCGGCTGGGGGTGGAAGGCAGCCGGAAAGGGACCGGGGGCCTCACGGAGGAGCGCCGGAGGTGGGGTGGCCGATCGAAGAAGAGCTCAGGCGGAGAAGGGCTTTTTGGATGGCTGATTTGGACTTGGATGAAAGGGGTAGGCAGCTTGGATTTTTCCCACGACAGATGGGACCTCATCGGGACAGGGAGCCAAGTCCGGACCCTGAACCAACAGGGGGCTGCCCGGTTAGAGGACCCGATCCAAACCTGATTGGGGCTGAAGTGAAGAGAGGAATTAGACCTAGAGTACAATCTGGAGCTTTCTGTTGGAGACGCGAGTATGAGCCGAAACTAGATCAGGGTGGCCGTCGAAGGGAAGATGGTAGGATTTGACGTCCCAAAACTCCAGAGGGGTTGCGAACAAGAGGGGAAATTCGAGGAAAAATGATGGAAATGTCAATCTTCTCGAGAGAGGATCCGTATGGCTGGCATTTTAGAGCGGAGCATTATTTCGACATGTATGAGGTGCCGGAAAGAGACAAAGTGTCGGCGGCTTCAATGTGTATGGAGGGACGAGCTTTGAATTGGCTTGGGCAGACCAACTTCCAAGATTCGTTCGTGGGATGGTAGGATTTGAAGGCGGTGATCTTGAAGCGATTTAGTAGGGCCAAGGGACCCTACGGAGAGGTTGATGGAGCTCAGACAAAGTGGGACGGTTGCGGACTATTTAGATTGTTTTGAGATGTTGTCAGCTCCGATCACGAACATGCCGAGTGCTTTCTACAAAGGGGTCTGTGTTCTTAGTAATTTGCTTATTAATGACAGACAAAGACGCTCAACCATAAGATAGTATCACTTGGAATGGATGCAAGACAAGAAGGAAATAGAACATAGAGAAGTGAGAGAAATATTGAAAGAAGAAGATGAAAGGAAAAGGCAAATAGCATTGTCTATGATAATTATCAATAACCAAACTAATCTGAGACAATTGGTTCATTTAAATATCTGTCCTAAATGAAAGAAGAAACCCCAAACACTTGCGCAACATAAATTGTTGTGCTAAGGGCATAGATTACAATGAAATGTTTGGCAAAAATCTAAGATTTTGGAGTTTTCATTGAAAAGACAGAGAAGAAAATATGAAAAATGTTGAATGAATTACTATGCAAAAGTACACGGGAAATTAAGGATCCCTATCTAGAGTACAAAAGAGGAAACTAATCTCCCTAATTAAGAGGAAAATAACTATTGATTCCTAACATCTCTATTACAGCTCACATGATTAGTCAACTAATCAAATATAGTACATAATTACAATAATCCCCGAAATCTTCCAACACTCCCGCTCAAGCTAGTATGAAGATATCACTCACGGAAAGCTTGTTGACCAAGTTTTCGAACTACGCCTTAGGAAGCCCTTTGGTGAGTATGTCTGCATCTTGGCTAGTGGTTAGTATGTACGACATGCATATCACGCCACTATCCAGCTTTTCTTTGATGAAATGTTTGTTGACTTCTACATGTTTTGTTCCTTCATGTAGAACTGGATTGTGAGCAATGGAGATTGCTGCTTTGTCGTCATAATAGACTTTGATAGGTGTTGTCATAAGAACATTCAACTCTACCAGAAGTCTTTTGATCCATAACACTCCACAGAATCCGTGTGTGACTATGCGAAACTCTGCTTCGGCACTACTTCTTAACACAACACTCTGTTTTTTACTCTTAAAGTGCTTGCCTAATCCGCATCAGTGTAGGCTTCCACCTGAAGATGGCCTCTACTTTTGAATAGGAGTCCCTTCCCCAGAGTTCCTTTAAGGTATCTCAAGATTCTAAACACGGCTTCAAAGTGAGCAAACCCAGGTGAATTCATAAACTGGCTCACCACGCTTACTGCAAAGGCTATGTCCGGTCGTGTATGGGCCATGTAGATCAGTCTTCCAACTAATCTTTGATATCTTTCGCAGTCTACCACTTCACTTTCAGCCGCTGCTTCCAACTTCAAATTAGGCTCGATAGGAGTACCTGCTGCCTTTACAACCAGTCATTCATGTTTCTTTGAGCAAATCAAGAATGTACTTGCGCTGGTTGATAAAAATTCCCTCATTGGATCACGCAAACTCCATACCGAGGAAATATTTTAACTTTCTGAGATCCTTGATTTCAAATTCAGCCTCGAGCTTCTTTTTCAGATGGTTGATCTCAAGAAAATCATCCCCAGTCATGATTATATCATCTACATACACTATCAGAATGGCCACTTTACCTTCGATGGAGTGCTTGAAGAACAAAGTATGATCAGCTTGGCTTTGTGAGAAGCCATGTCTTCTAATAACACTCCTAAAGCGCTCAAACCAGGCTCTTAGATACTGCTTTAGTCCATATAAAGATTTCTTCAACTTGCACACTTTACCTCTCCTGAGCCTCTCTTCAAATGAGGGTGCTAGGTCCATATATACTTTTTGCAAATCTCTGTTAACAAATGTGTTTTTAACATCCAACTGATAGAGAAGCCAATTGGAATTAAATGCAAGAGAAAGAAGTATTATGATAGAATTTATTTTAGCAACAGGAGCAAAAGTCTCTTGGTAATCTATAACGTGAGTTTGAGTGAATCTTTTTGCTACGAGTCGTACTTTGTATCTTTCCACACTTCCATCTGCTCTGCATTTCACTGTAAACACCCATTTACAACCAACTGTCTTCTTATCTGCGGGTAAGTCAATGATACTCCAAGTCTTGAATGAATTAACGCAGAAAAAGAGAGAAATGGTTTTCTGTATATCATTCCAATCAATGGTTACATTCATATATAGGCTGATTTGACAAACAAAAAAGGAAACTCTGCCTAATTACATATATTGATTGATATCTATTCTAGGGAAATATTCTATCTTAGGAAAGAATCCTAATTCTCCTAAATATATACATTTCAATTGTCAACTATACACTATGACAGCTATTGCCAAATCTGACAACAGCTGTATCAATCTGACAGAATTGCAATGCAAAGGTCCACGGGAATTTAAGGATCCCTTCTAGAGTAAAAAGAGGAAACTAATCTCCCTAATTAAGAGGAAAGTAACTACTGATTCCTAACATCTCTATTACAGCTCAAATGATCAATCAACTAACTATAGTACATAATTACAATGATCCCGAAAATCTTCCAACACATTGTCCAAAGACTTCGAGCGTACCTGAACCAATGTTCCTGCAGCAGATCCGGGAACGAGGACATCCCACCCCTCAGAACCAATTGTAGTTCTCACAGCTCTTAAGAAAAGGGTGCAAAGTTTTGACACCTGAAAGATTACTCTGTAGAGGAAGCATATAGAAAAAGTTTGAAAACAACGTTTGTCATATCAACAAATAAGATGTACGGTCCAAAGGACTAATGTAGAACCCACAAATGTTGGCCTACGAAACCAACCAAGCTTAGAAACAATAGACTCTATATCACCAATAATGGAGCTTGTGATGTAAAAGAAATAAAAATTACTATGACAAATTGAACTATACCCGGCACGAATCTCAGCTTCAGCATATGTCCTTACGCTGTTCTCAGGGATACCAAAAGCTTTGCCTAACATCTAATAGAGCCATTGAAAACAATTTTGTCAGAATTATAGGTTACTTTGTTCCGCTCTTATAGTAATCTGTAACAGTTTTAGATTAGCTGATATAGTTTAAACTCTATTGGCGTTCTAGACAAAGATATTTATGTAAATTATTGGCTCTTCCAAATATTTTTGTGTGCTCAAATGTTGTTTCTAAGCAAATTTTCCAAGTGGATGCTTATTCTAAACTCAGAATTAGTCCACAAAACAAACATAAAATAAAAGAATTGGCCAAGATCATCAGCGTAAGATGACTCCCATGAATCATACAAATCTATCATATGTTTCACATTTGGGAAAGAAATACAAACCTGGACTTTTTGGGGAAATATTTGAAGAAGTGCTTCAGAATATTCTTCAGTTAACCTCCTAGCTCTATCAAGAGTAGCTTTGAGCCTTAATGCCCAGATTGTCTTTCCATCTTCATTTCCTTCAGAGAAAAAGGTAGGAATGATTCAGTAAAGGAAAGAAAAAATACACAGAGAGAGAGGTGGATAGGTGAGCACAAGTCAGCACATGTTGGCTTTTTTGGCTCTTTAGCTGAGTCCCACATTGGTTAGGGAGTAAGCCTTTTGTCTTTTATGGCTTATACATATTGTCTTTTGTCCAACATCGGTCGTGCACGAAGCCTTTTGTCTTTTGGAGGCTTATGAATAAGAGATCAGTTTGTTATTTTAGTCATCCCAAAATCAGAAACTATTTGTTTGCCGATTAGTTTTGTCTCTTTTTAGGAATTACGGAATTCTGTTTAAGTGAGTTTCTTTTTGCCAATTTTAGAAGCTTGCCTCTAATTATTCCTTTTTGTTATTATTCGAAATTTGGGTTGTGAGCATTTTGGGTTGTGGGAATTTGGTCAAGCTTTTGTCATCTCCTTGTTTATAGTGGAATTTCTTCTCCATCTCTGCCCGTGGACGCAGGCCAAAAGCTGAACCAGGTAAATCCTTGTGTTATTTTGGATTTCTATTTTTTTTTTCCTTATTTTGTTGTAAAACCCAAATTTAGTCTAAAAACTTCCAACAAAAATCACCCATGTGAGAACTAACTAGACCAAGAAAGCATAAATGAATACCTTCCATTTCCAAGAGTCCTTTCTCCTTCCAGGCAAGCAGCTCATTCTCAATAGCGGTACATTCATTGGACTTCCAACCAGCCAATTTTACCTGATTAGTCCCGACAATTAAAGCACTAAGCGGATCACTCCAAGAACTTATATTCTTTTCATTCACGTTCTCTGCTAGCCAATTGGCACCTCCAGTAGCTTCAAGCACATTGAGAAATCTAAAAACAATAATGACAGTTAATAGTGCACTGGCGGTCCCATTGCCAATAAGCAACAACATACGATCAGTTTCGTATCTAAACTGTAACGCATTGCTAGCACCTTATAGACAATCCATATTTTGCTAGACACAATTCTATTTATAAAAGTCCCTTATAATTTGAGAATACAACAACTAACACATAAAGAAACATCAATTTACTAGAGTATTACTAATGAAGAGGTACCAAATAAATTAGTTTTACAAATAGATTGAAAGTTAAGGAAACTACAAGGCAAAAAAGAAAAAATGAAAAAAAAAAAAAGACAATGAAACATTTTTATCAAAGAACAAGGAAGAAAAAATTCTCAACGCCAATATTATGCGTACCTGCTTAAGATAACAAATGAATAGTCCTCCAGCCCAATCTCACAGAGGCGCCACTGTCCTCCAGAATACAAAGAACAAAGAAATTCAAAAAAGAAAAAAAAAAGGGAAAACCAACAACAACCATTAAATTATTAATTATAACTAGCAGACATGAGCATATATATATATTATATATATATATATTATATATATATATATATATAGGTATGGTTTTAATGGTTACTCCAATTTTTTACCCATCAATGGGTATTATTATTTTAGCCACAAGATATTAATGCGACGGTCGTAATAAATTGAATAGTTGACCAAAAATATTAATGCCAATTAATGAAATTGGATTTTTATCAGGCCACTTCATCAAATTTCTATATTTGGAGGTGACTACCGATGGAAACGTAACGATTTAAAACTCGTCCATATATGTGTGTGTGTGATTCACTTTATGCTTATTCTACATAATAACTGAAGATGATCTCACCTTTTGACGCATGGCTATTGCAGCATCAGAAGCATCATTTCTAAGACCACTTTCAAGACCCTTTGCAATTACTCCTCTCAGAACATTCAGTGATTGCATGGTTTGGAACAACAAGCCACTGGTATTATTCACTGCAAAATTACTTACTTCTTCTTCAGCATCCAGACTCTAGAAATAAGCAGACATTTGCCTTTATGGTTATGCCTCAATCAGATTAAAAAATATCAACCAAATTAGGAAACCCATATAGGATCAAAAAATATCATAACAAGAAAGAGTAAGTTTCATGAACTCCACACTTACATTTAAGTAATGTCTACAATTAATCCTAAACAATATAAGAAAAGATCTTGCACCTTCTGTTTCTTTAGGATAGGAGGAAGCGGGTGTCAGGAATTCATTACTTTGGAAAACATAGTCCGTCATCTTGCAAAGATGTGTATATTAAGCTCTAGGAATGACAGTAACAAGAAAATAAAATGACAAACTCAGATGACCTAGAACTAAGTGAAGAAAATGCACGAGGTCCTCTTTAATAAATACTACATCCTAGTTCGGTATATGGATTTTGGGTGGTTAGAACCATCATGTAGGTTCAAACAATGTTTGGAAAACATTATGATTGCCTCAATTCCACCAAATTAAATGGCCCCAGGGACAAGGGATAGAAGGGATGGTGTCACCACAAAAACGGTGATTAACCCATGGATGGAGTTTAGAAGAAATTTCAAGATGATGAAAGAAAGCCACAACCAACCAATCATTTCTCCTAATATAATCGCCTTCAGGCCCTGTCAAATTACACACTTTAAGATTGTAAAGATTCAATTAAGGAAAGGGTTTCTCCCCCTTTCAAAATTAATCTCCAAGCTGGCTCTTTGAAAATGCGCATTTAAGGACATAGTCCCATGATGGAAAGTTATAAGAAAATTAAGAGATTGGTATAGATCAACCCAATAACTAGCTTAAGCTTCATGCCAAATGTTGTCTAAACATTAATTGGCTCTCAGTGAACTCACTTAGGTAGAATCTAATGGGATAAAAGACAAATGTATGACAAGTGGTGCAGACCCAATGGTTCAACGAATCCAAAAATCAAAATAAGTATTAGCTCCCAAGTTTTGCTTTTTTAGTTTCCAAAGTGGAGTTTTGGTAACTCCACTGACTTGGCTTCAAATTTCAATCCCATAGATCTCATTTTTCATTATTAGGATTTACCAATAAGCACTAGGGATTATTGTACTTATGGCACGTAGTAAGAGCTGGTGGGTCTAATATTATTCTCTATAGTACCATGTCAGATTAGTTAATGTCACCATAGAGGAATTTGCGTGGATCTAATATCGTTATTAAATAACAAGCATCCACCTTTTTACACTCCAAAAACAACGTGAGGGCTGAAAGGCCACGTTCATCTAGAGATTCCTTGATGGATTCAAGTTGTTCGGCAAGGCTGCATATGAAGAAATAAACAGAAAGAGTTAGCCAAGTTCAGGTATTACACCCACAAAATAGCACGGTTAATGAGATTAAAAGTAAAAGACTAAGAAAAAATAAACTTGACAGTTCCATAAATTCTGGTTAGTTCAGCTGAACCAAAATTGCCCTCTTCAGTAACGTAGCCATCTTCGTATTACGGGGGAAATTCTTTGCTACTTGAATTATAAAAACAACATCAAAGTTCACGATAAGTTAATTGGTATTCCACATGATGTTTTCATTGAACTTCCATGGCAGGTACCAATAGTATACACACAACCATATACCACAACCATAGGAGCAGTGTAGCAGCGAAGGAACATATGTGGACTAGCTTCCTAATCAAAATTAATTAAAAAAAAAATCATCATGCAGATAATATTAGCAGTTTTTGAGTCTGGTTATTTAGATCTAGATGATTTATATCAGGGAAAGTATATTAGGTAAAGTATCTTTATTAATAGTTTTGACTTCATTAGTATTTATTTTCAAATTAGGAAGTTTATTGATTTTAGATTTGGTTAACTTACCCGATTATGTGCCTTGTAATGTCTATTTATATGGAGCCCCCTTTATAGTGCTCCTTACTAGTGAATACTCTCTTTTTTCCTAGTCCGTGGATGTAAAATCTCTTTGTTTCTTCTTCTTCTTCTTCATTTTATTTTCTTATCTAATTATTGTTAATTTATCCAAATGAAATGACTTAATAGACATGCCAACACAATAGAGATTATGGAGACAACATATGTAGAAAATATGTCCAACGCAAAAGTTAAATCAGAACGGAGAGTGAATGCAATATAAGTTCACGAATAACTATTCCAAGATTACGGTTATGGTTAACAAGGTTCCGCTAGATAACTTTAGCGTTTGTTTTAAAAAAATTGTTAGAACTTTGCATTCTTTTTCTTTCTGACCAAGTTAATTTGCATTCACTAATATTACTATTCGCAAGCCAACTAACAACAACAAAAAAAACAAACAAAAAGAAGAAGAATGAAATAATATTGTCAACACAAATTTTGTTGTAAGTTTACTAAGATCAACCACAAGATAAAGAAATTCTAAAAGTTTTGTCTGCATTGTTCCAAACCTTCCAGCATTGAAGAAATCTTTCAGTTCCTGATGGAATATCTTGAACTGGTCCACAAATGCTTCACTGTATTCTCCTGTATTTTTTGTTATTCTTGCAAGCATTGCTTCTGTAGAAACCAGATCTTCAGGACCAGCATTTCGGTGAAGCTTGTTTTGTATTGTATGCTTAATTTCTTGCTGAAATGTAAGAACTTATGTACATTAATACTCATCTGTTAAACCGAACAATAAAATTACCGAGTCATTTGAGAGGTATAACCTTGAGATCATGAGGAATATCATTCCGATGAGCAATATCCCTTATTCGTGTTAGTGGTACAGATGCAGTAAATTCAGCCTTAAAAGATGGTAGACATGGGTGAATCTTGCGGATAACAAGTCTTTCCTGAATATAGAATATAAATTTATAAATTGGGAGAAGCAAAAATTGAATAACTGCTAGGCAGCAATTTAATCAGAGCTAATAAAAAGAAAGAGTATAAGAAGAAATGCAGATAATATAGAGGTCTATCACTTTTTAAACTATTTCACATTTTAATTATTTACTAGCTGTGATTTGTACAGAATTGAGCAGTTGGCTTCACAAGAATCACAACAGAAGAATGAAAATAGATGGCGTTAAAGTGAAACAATAAACTAATGAAGCAGTGCCTCAAAGACCTCTTTCAACAAAATTCAAGATAACCAACTCTTTGTAATTGTAATCACCATGACAGAATAAAATAAAGAGAAACGGCCATCAAAAGTCCAATTCAAACGAATAAAAAAAACCTGGAGTGAAGTATCTTTCCTACTATATATCCATTCCAATTCCCGAAATATAAGTCGGGAAATCTCAGCATGCCTGTTTGGCCGATGATGACCTCCATCTTCTAAGCAGGGAATTTGGCCTGTGTTTATCCACTGCATAAGAAGAGGATCTAAGAAGTGCATGCAAGAACCAATTAAGGATAAAAGGTAAAAGAAAATGTCAAGAAAACCTTCAAGTAGATGGCAGAATATATGAGCGCGTCCAGCCGATCCTCACTTTCTGAGTTTTCAGCTACTAGCTCACGTATGATTTCAAGCTTCAACAAGGAAAGGTGTGTGATTAGTAAGAAAATAGGGGCATTGATCTCAAAACGACCCAAAAATTCTTAAAATGTAGGAGATACTATTTGATAATTTCATCCACAGACCACTAAATTTAAAAGTTGTAACAAGAGAACACTGAACTCCTTATTTAGACTATAGAAGTGCTAAAATGTGTATAAACTTTAAGGCTTGCATCTATGTGGTATAACTGAGCATGCAACGATTAGCTTAGATAAACATTAACTCATATGCCATAAAATAAATAAATAATAAGTACAAATTTGATCAAGTATAATACCTTTCTCCACCAATTTCTTGCATTTCGGTCACCTTCAACTAATTTTAAAGCCAGTCTTTCAAGATCTGAGGTGTCCCTGTCCCATGTTCTTTCTGTTTCGTGAGCTCGATGCTCATTTGACCGCATGAAGGAGGCAGCCTTTCCTTGCCATTGCCCAACAAAAGGACTCGTCTCCACCCCCAAAGGAGCAGCAGTGTCAGCAGTTAAAGACCCATTTTCACCTACATCATCCTCTTCCTCCAATGCCAGTAAATCGACAGCCTCCCCCGTTTTGTTCCAATGACAAACAATTCCATAAATCCCTCGTTCGGGCAGCCCCAGAACTCGATTTTCACCACTTTCCCATAACAAACTCTCATCCTTCCCCAAGATAACGAACTTATACTCAATAGAGTTACCCCCTTTCAACTCTAATTGGCACACCCATCCCCTCTCCGTCCAATTCAAATGCACCTTCTTCTTCCATGAACCCAATTCTTTCGTCGATCCCAAAATAACAACATGCTCTCCAAATTTAACTTGGTGATCCAGCCGTATACTTAACTGCACTTTGTCACGCCCTGACTCTGATTTCATCTTCTTATTCTTCTTCTCCTCCACTCTACCAAGAAAAAAAAGAGGAACATAGGTGAAAAAGAAAAAAGAAAAGGGACAGAAGAATTTGTCACTACTTGTCCTGGCTTCAAAGAACTAAGCTTATAGGATCCTGAGCCATTGCATTAGCTTCTCATTTGTGGCCACATAGCTCATATGTACTATAATAGCAGTAACAACGAAAGGTGCTTGTAAAACTCCCCAATTGCACTCAAAACAATTCACTTACGACATATAAAAGACATTCATTCCCTCAAAATTCTTTTAATCAACTGTCGGTTAGATAAGGGTTTTTTATTTGAATTTAAATAAAACAGAGGATAAAGGGTTTATCATTAGAGATAAGGTTTTTAGGGTTAGAGCTTATCTTTAATTAGGATAGGTTAGAGTTTATATTTAATTAGGATAGTTTCTTTTAGGAAGATAAGTGAACATTTGGTTCATGGATTTAGAATCATGATTCAGAACCATTCTCAGTTTACATGTGTCTTTTGTGAGAGAAAATACTGTAACGAACCACGAATCATTATTCGAATCATGGCATGAATCTAGCAACCAAACAACTTCTAAGGTTTCTTCCTTAGCCTATTTATTCTGTATTATTTTTTGACTATTCCCGAATAATAGAAAAAAGTTTCTTTCTAGAAAATTTACATGGTATCAGAGCCATGACAAAAACAGCCATGGTTGGTGCCGCCAAAGGCACGAGTTCCTCCGAGGTTGCTGATGAGGCTGTTCATCAGTCTCCTATGTATATGCCCGATCATTCCCTTCAAATAACCATTCATAAACTGAATGGAAAAAATTATCTAGAATGGTCACAATCTGTCAAACTTGTGATCGATGGTAAAGGAAAGCTTGGTTACTTGACCAGAGAAATAAAACAACCTACTGATGATGCAAAGCAAAGGAGATGGAAATTAGAGAACTCAATGGTAATTGCCTGGTTGATTAATTCTATGGAGCCGATGATTGGGATTCTATGGAGCCGATGATTGGGAAACCCTTCATGTTTCTCCCTACTGCCCGAGATGTTTGGGAAGCAGTGCGGGATACATACTCTGATGTGGAAAATTATTCCCAGATGTTTGAATTAAATGCCAAGATGTGGAGATCCCAGCAAGGAGATCGAGAAGTGACTGTATATTATAATGAGATGATGACACTATGGCAGGAACTTGATCTACTCGAAGAAGAAGAATGGGAGAGTCCAAGTGATAGTGTTCGATACAAGAAAAAAAATTGAAAGAAACCGTGTGTTTGTATTTCTTGCAGGTTTAAACAAAGAATTAGATGAAGTTCGAGGTCAAATTTTGAGTCGAACACCCCTCCCCTCAATTAGAGAGTTTTTCTCCAAAGTCCGCAGAGAAGAAGCTCGTAGACATGTCATGATGAAACCAGCAGAAGACACTCGACCAAGCCTTGATGCTGAAAGTTCAGCACTGGCTACAAAAGGGTATGATCTAGTGGGCAAGAGGAAGAATGGAAGACATAAGCCATGGTGTGATCACTGCAAAAAACTGTGGCACACCCGTGAGAACTGCTGGAAAATTCACGGCAAGCTAGCAAACTGGAAAAAGAAGTAGAATGGTGACACTCGGGCATTCCAAGCCAGCAACAATAATGAAACAAGGCAACAACAAGTCTCCTCAAAAACTCTTCTATTTACAAAGGAACAAATTGACCACCTGTACAAAATGTTTCAGCCACCCTTACAATCCCCAGTAAATTCCAACCCTTCTTGTTCTGTGGCACAAAAAGATAATTACTCACAGCCACTCTTATCAGTGTCAATCCAAATTGTTCTTGGATAATCGATTCTGATGCAACCAATCACATGACCGGATTATCACAATTATTTTCATCTTATAGACCATGTGCAGGAAATCAAAAAATCAAAATAGCTTATGGTTCCCTCAGCAATAGCCGGGAAAGGAACCATCGTTATTTCTCCTCACCTTACTCTCAATGATGTCCTCCATGTCCCAAATTTGTCTTGCAATCTCTTATTTGTCAGTAAATTAACTCATGATCAAAATTGTCAAGTTAACTTCCTTTTTTCTCATTGTGAGTTCCAAGATTTAACCTCGGGGAAGATGATTGGCAGTGCTAAACAAGTTGAAGGACTCTACATACTTGAAGGTGAATCTATAATTGGAAGGCAAGCTCGGAAGACTTGTTTCAATTCTATTTCTGTTATTAATACAAATGAAATCATGCTATGGCATTATAGATTAGGTCATCCAAATTTTAAATATTTGAAACATTTTGTTTCCAAAGTTATTTATCAATAAAAATCCCTCTTCTTTTCAATGTGAAATTTGTGAGTTGGCAAAACATCAACGTGTCCCCTTTCCACCATAACCCTACAAAAGCTCAAAACCATTTACTATAATACATAGTGATGTTTGGGGTCCTTCTAGAGTTGCAACCCCCTCAGGTAGAAAATGGTTTATCACCTTCATTGATGATCACACAAGGGTTTCTTGGTATTTTTACTAAAAGAAAAATCTGATGCAGAACAAGTGTTTAAAAATTTTTACACCATGGTTCAAACACAATTTAAAACCAAAATTCAAATCTTTCGGAGTGATAATGAAAAAGAGTATTTTAACTCCATTCTGGAAAAAAAATTTCATGAAAAAGGAATTTTGCATCAAAGCTCTTGTAATAATACACCTCAACAAAATGGGATGGCTGAAAGGAAGAATAAACACCTCCTCGAAGTTGCCCGGGCCTTAAGATTTTCAACTAATGTTCCAAAATATTTATGGGGGAAGCTATCCTTACAGCCACTTACTTGATCAATAGGATGCCAACTAGAATTTTGAAATTTAAAACCCCTTTAAATGTTTTCAAAGAGTGCTTTCCTACTTCAAGACTTTTTGGTGATATCCTTTTGAAAATATTTGGATGTACTGCATTTGTTCATATCTATGATAATAAACGAGGGAAACTAGATCCTAAAGCAAGAAAATGCATTTTTGTTGGCTATCTATCAAATCAAAAAGGGTACAAGTACTTTGATCCACTCTCAAAAAAACTGCTTGTTTCCATGGATGTAACCTTTTTTGAAAACCAAAGTTACTACATGAGTTCTCATCTTTAGGGGGAGAACAATTGTGAAGATTCGAATGTCAATATTGATGCTTTTAAAAAAACTGAAATGGTTCTAGCCATGTTTGAACTTACACCCGAAACAGATGAGGAAATAAATGATGTAGGTACAATTTTGAATGAAAATTCAAATGAAACAAATGTATTGGATACTAAAAATCATGGACAGCCTTCCTTAATGGCATCACATGATCATAATCGTGGAAAATTATAGATGTGTATGAAACGGTACAAAGGGCTGGTCTTCTCAAGAAGGAATCATCAACAAGGAACAGAGAAATCTAACGTGCAGCACTGCCAAGAGTCCAACCGTGGATTAGATCCCATGTCAGATAAAGTCCCAGGTAATTATGAACCAATCTCTTCAATTCCTATTGCTCTTAGAAAAGGTATTACATCTTGCACCAAATATCCATTGTCCAATTTTGTGTCATATGAAAAAGTGTCACCCTCCTTCCATGCATTTATCTCACAACTCTCTCCAGTGTAGCCATTCCAAAAAATGTACAAGAGGCTCTAGTTGTTCCCGAGTGGAAGGAAGCAGTTTATGAAGAGATGAGGGCTCTTGAGAAAAATGAAACATGGGACGAAGTAGACTTGCCACACGGGAAAACAACCGTTGGCTGCAAATGGGTGTTTACTGTGAAGTACAACTCAGATGGCTCATTGGAAAGATATAAAGCTCGCTTGGTAGCAAAGGGATCTACACAAACATACGGTATTGACTACTCCGAAACCTTCTCTCCAGTAGCAAAACTGAACACAATAAGGATTTTCCTATCGATTGCCGTGAATCTTGATTGACCCCTACACCAGCTAGACGTAAAAAATGCCTTCCTCAATGGAGAATTAACAGAAGAAGTGTATATGGATGCTCCACTAGGTTTTTCCGAGAGGTTTGGTTCGAGGGTAAAAGTCTCTCTATGGGCTCAAGCAGTGTCCTAGAGCTTGGTTTGAACGATTTGCAAAGTTTTTAAAAGGCCAAGGCTTTACTCAAGGACAAGCAGACCATACTCTATTCATGAAGATATCCTCTGAAGGGAAGATTGTTGTCTTAATTGTCTACGTGGATGATATTATCTTTACAGGAGATGACTTCGAAGAAATGAATAAATTAAAGCAGTGCTTGGCTACTGAATTTGAGATTAAGGATCTGGGACCATTACGATACTTTCTTGGTATGGAATTTGATCGATCCAAGAAAGGGATTGTCGTCTCACAGCGTAAATATATCCTTGATCTTTTAGAAGAAACAGGGATGAGTGGATGTAGACCGGCTGACACCCCTATGGTGTTCAACGTAAAACTTGGTGAAGGAGAGAAAGAGGTCCGGGTTGATACAAACCGATACCAGAGATTAATTGGCAAGTTAATTTACCTGCCTCATACAAGACCTGATATCGCATTCGTAGTAAGTGTGGTTAGTCAGTTCATGCACGCCCCGTACGAGGAACACCTTGAAGCAGTTTACCGGATCTTGAGGTATTTAAAGGGAAATCTAGGAAAATGATTATTTTTCAGGAAAAGTGAGCACAGGAGAATTGAAGTCTATACGGATGCTGACTGGGTAGGATCAATAGTGGATAGAAGATCAACTTCTGGATATTGCACATTCTTATGGGGAAATTTAGTCACGTTGAGGAGCAAAAAGCAGAGTGTAGTAACTAGAAGTAGTGTCGAGGCCGAGTATAGATAAATGGCACTAGGGATATATGAGGTACTATGGCTACTGAGAGTCCTCAAGGAGCTTAGAAGACCACACGATAGTCTTATGAAACTATATTGTGACAACAAGACTGCAATCAGTATCGCGCACAATCATGTTCAACATGACAAAACAAAGCACATTGAGGTGGATAAACACTTTATAAAGGAGAAGCTTCAAGAAGGGGGGTCATCTGCGCGTCATTTGTTCCAACCACACAGCAAGTTGCAAATATTCTAACAAAGGGACTCCTAAGGCAGAAGTTTGAGTTTCTAGTTAACAAGTTGGGCATGATAGATATCTTTACACCAACTTGAGGGGAGTGTCGGTTAGATAAGGGGTTTGTATTTAAATTTAAATAAAAAAGGAGATAAAGGGTTTATCATTAGAGATAAAGTTTATCTTTAATTAAGATAAGTTAGAGTTTATCTTTAATTATGATATTTTTTTTAAGAAGAATAGCCTATTTATTCTGTATTATTTTTTGACTATTCCCCGATAATAGAAAAAAGTTTCTTTCCGGAAAATTTACATCAACCAATACATATCTGTAACACCTAATACGTAAACACATATAAACAAACACACATATGTGTATATATACAATTAACATAAATGTATTCCATTTTTTTGCAAAAGTACTCCGCAAATTATGCTTTGTGACCGGAAAAACGTAAAATGCAAAAGAAGAAGAAGAAGATTCAATTGCGAAAGCCATGGTCGAGCCCTACGATGTAAAAAATAATAATAGAAAAAATCGTTTCTTCGAGATTTTCATCATCAATCTCATATACGTGCGTATGCACGGGAAAATATGCTTGGCAACCGAGAAAGCCAAAGAAAATGAGAAAAATAAATGAACAGAAAATGAGGTATATTGTGGAGCGAGAAAGTACTTGGATTCGGAAGAGGAAACAACGGCGGCGCAGATGATCGGAAGCCAGCGACGGAGACGGAGAGGAAAAGAAGAAATCCTGCCTCGTCCGGCGGAGAAAGGAACCGCCGGAGACCTTCCGCGGCGATCGGCGAATGTGAATTGCTTCCGGTGAAGGATTTGCGAAGCGACGGAGCTGCGAAATACACGCAGAGAATCCATGTGATTGGGAAATGGGGGGGGGGGGGGGGGAAGCTTACACAGGAAGGTGGATTAGGGAAGTGAGCTAATGGAGGTGAAATCCGAATTTAAAATTGGAGTTTTGTCATACGAAGGTCCATTTAATTTGTTGATTTAAATTTTTAATTTGAGTTAAGATATGATTTTATATAAAAAAAAATTTATTATATAAAATTATTAGATATAATTATTTTTGAGAGTTTTTTATTGTAATAAAATTTAAATCGATAAAATAAACAGGATCTTAAAAGGTTTTTAAAAACAATCTTACTTAATTTTTTTATTATAATAAAAAATTCTCATATAAAATCATATCTCAATTTAAATTAAAATTTTAAATAAATAAATTAAAAAAGCCCGTAAAATTTGAAACTCCCTCAGTTCACCATGTGGAAAAACGGAATCATATGTAATTTGTTTTTTTGAGTTTTGAGTCATTTTTGTTTTGAGGGGTCTTTTTATTTTTTGATATTTTTTTAGGAGGGAGCTTTCTCATTATTGATCAGAAAAAAGAGTTATTTGATCTCTTTTCACATGACGAATAATTTGTTTCAATAATTATGGAGATGTTTGGTAAGGTGATTCATATCATGATTTGAATCATAGTTCATGGTTCACTACAATATTTTCTCTCACAAAAAATACACATAAATCAAAAATAATTCTAATCCATGAACTAAACGCCTCATATTATTAATCTTTAATAATACTTTTTATTAACCCTAATACTAATTTATCACATAAAAAACTTTAAAACTATGCCACGTCAAATCTATAGATGAAAGTGGAAAAATTGATATTTTAAATTATTTTCTATATATCCGACATGCTTTGAACTATTTTAAAAAATTGGGAGGCAATTGAAATATTTCAACTTTTAATTACATTGTTATTATTTAAAGTATAACATCTAGATATAAAATAGAATCCTAAAAAGAATCAAAATTAAAAAAAATTAAAATTTTAGGGTAAAAAAACATAAAAGGATTTAAAAAAGGACTAAAATAAATAAATAAATAATTTTAGGATAAAAGGGGCCACAACGAAAAAATTTCAGGAGTAAAATCAAAATAATGTATCAAAAATTCACCAAAATGAAAAAATAATAAGTTTTAGGACAAAAGTAACCAATAAGAAAAAATAAAATTAGAAGACAAAAAAAGGATCCAAAAAGGACAAAGATTGAGAATTAAATAAATTTTAGGGTAAAATAGACTAAAATGAAATGAAAAGATTAAGTTTTAGAGCAAAAAATTTTAAAAAAAATGGGTCAAAAAAGAATCAAAACAAAGAAATAAAAAAGTTTAAGGTAAAAGGATCTAAATTGAAAAAAAAATAAAGCTTTTCTGTAAAAATTAAAAAAATTTCAAATTTACCAAAATGAAAAAAAATAAAGTTTCAAGGCCAAAAGGGGGTAAAAGGGAAAAAATTAAAGTTTCGAGGTAAAAATAAAAAGGTTTCAAAATGGACCAAAATGGAAAATAATAAATTTTAGAATAGAAAGAACCAAAACAGAAAAATAAAATAAAATTTTGAGACAAATAAAAAGGGTCAGAAGAGGATAAATATCAAGAATTAAATAAATTTTAGGATAAAATAGACTAAAATAAAAATAAATAGTTTTAGAGTAAAAATAAAAAAAAGGGTCAAAAAGAACCAAAACAACGTATGCAATTTTTTAACGTTAGATTTGGTTAAAATCACATAAAATTAAAAAGTATGAAAAATAAATAGATTCTGATACAGATTTGATGACTGAAAAAATAAGAGATTATCAGTAATCTATTTTTACAGAGATTAACGGAGAAAGTCCCTTACTTGTAAGCTATCAAATTCATCAAATATTTTATATATCGTTTAAGTATTATTATTGACAACATACTACTGGAAAAACTATTATTGACAATAAAAGTGACAACATTTAAGAAAATGGTTCATAAAGTTGAGACTTTCTATATTAAGTTTCTTTAAAAATAGTATTAATTTTTGATCGTTAGATCTAATTAAAATCACATTAAATTAAAATATATATATATATAATAGATAATTTTTAATATAAATTTAATGATTAAAAAATAAAAAATTATTAATAATTTATTTTTTCTAGTCATATCCGAAAAAAAACTCCCCGACAAAGTTTTTAGGTTGTTCTTTTGAAGTGTAATTTGAGTGTAATTTTTGAGTTAAATTTGAGTTATAACTTGAGTTGAGGTTGTAACTTGAATAAAATTGAATAAAATTGAATAAAATTTAAACTTAAAAGAATGTAAATTTAAATAAAATTATAACTTGAGTTTAAACTTTTTTTAAATTTTATTGTAAAACAACAATCCCTTTATTATTAATAAATGGTGTTTCTTAGAATAAGACCGTTCTAAAATATCATAAACTTTTTTCTTTTTATTATTTATTTGTTTTTTGAATGTGATAAACTTGACGTCAGTTCAGATCAGATACGCACTAAATCTAAAGGGAAAGTATTTCGTTTACCTTGTCGTGTTGTGGACCACGAATAAGGTTATCACAAGTTTTATATCTTTTCTTTAGTTTCAAAATTGCTATTCTTGGATTCAGCAAAAAAAAAAATGTTATTCTTCGATCACGTGTCAATGTTAGTAAGGACATGGAAAAGAAATCTTATCTTTCAGCTTAAATTAGAAGGGATGTACTCCAGTTGGTTGGCAGCTTACCGGTACTCTCAATTTTTAATTAATAGATTTTATTAGTCACGTTAATTTAAAAATATATACAGTATAAATAAATTTTAATATAAATTTAAGAGTTAAAAAATAAAAAACTATTAATAATTTATTTTTTTAAGGACTATCAAATAAATTTTTAAATTAAAAAAGGTTACAGTTTTACTATTATGAAAATTTTATTTTGGAATAAACTATAGTCTTTCTAGTGTAGGTGCTGTATCATTTTGAGAAATTTGATGGAATGTCATGATAACTCTATAAAAAAAATAGATATTTTTGCTCTTATTTACATTTAAATAGGGTTTTTTTTAGAATTTTATTTTGATTTTTAGCATATTTTATTTTGTATTGTGTTGTTTTAATTTATTTTTACTGTAGTTTAGTGTATTTTATTTTAAGATAAATTGTATAGATGGTCCTTAAAATTTTTTAATAAATGATAATTTAATTTTTAATTCTTTTTAATAAAATGATTCCCGAACTCTTTAAAAAGTGAAAATTTAATCTTTTTTATCAAATTTTATTAAATTTAACCAAACATGTAACGTGACTCATCACGTAACTCTTTTTTTAATAAAATGACTTAAATGTCCGCATTAGAAAAGCCTTCTTCTCTTTTTTCCCCAAATTTCCCTCTCAGATCTACTCTCTCTCGTCCTCTGCACGCCCTCTCTCTCTTCATCGATCAATCTCTATTTCTTCATCGATACATTTCCTGAAGTTGATAGCTGGCCTGTCTTTTGCTTGGGCTTTTTTTTATCTTTTTGTGTCCCCAAAATTCTTGCTTTGTTGCTCTTTGACTCATGTGGATTTGTTCTCGCTTCAGAATGTGTGCAGAAATGGACTCCCTCAGCGACGACAATGGCGGTAACAACGACCCGATTAAACCGGATTTGCCTTGAAAAAATTGTTTGATTAGGTGGGGGAATGGAGGAAGTTGGGCACGGGGATGACTTGTTGCAAAGTACCATGCTTCTTGATGATACTGAGATGGTTGAAGATGCATTTGAAACCCAAATGGTAGATCTTGCGAGTGAAACCCAAGTCACGGATTTCAGAGGAGAAACCCAAGAGGCGGATATTTGCGGCGAAACTCAAGTATTGGATTATGATAATTGCTTTTGAGCATATGGTCCAGTTTGGGCAAAATTTTGGTCGGAGGAATGGGCAAAATCCAGTTTGGATTTTAGAGATGAAATTTGGAGAAAAGAAGGCTTTTCTGGGGGCATTTAAGTCATTTTATTAAAAAAATCACTTGATAGGTCACGTGATATGTTTTGTTAAAAATTTAACAGAATTTAATGAAAATGACCAAACTGTTACGACCGTTTGGTTCATAGATTAGAATAATTTTTTATTTACGTGTATTTTTTATGAAATAAAATATTATAACGAACTATGAACCATAATTTAAATCAGATACAAATTTTCCAATCAAACAGACTCTTTTAAAGAATTTAGAAGTCACTTTGTTAAAAAAAATATTAAAAATTAAATTATCGCTTACTAAAGAGTTTAGGTGACGTTTGGTAAGGGGATTCGTACCCTGATTTAAATTATGGTTCATGGTTCATGGTTCGTTACAGTGTTTTCTCTCACAAAAAATACACGTAAATCGAAAATGGTTTGAATCTCATTATTCTAATCCATGAACCAAACATCTCCCTATTTTTGCGATTTACCCTTTATTTTATTTCTATTTTAGTTTTCCCTTTGTCTATTTGTGAATCCTTATTTGCGTAATACGTTTAGTTTATAAATTCAGAATCATGATTCAAAATTATTTTCATTTTTCGTGTATTTTTTGTGAGAGAAAATTACTGTAGAGAATTATAAATCATGATTCAGAATTAGAGACGAATACATAAAATAAACATCCTAATTAGGTGAAAAATGCAATTTGGAATTTAATTGGGATTAAAAATGCATCTAAAATCAAAAGAAATTCGGATCAGCATCATGCCCACATGTAGGCGAGCAGCATGCCTATAACATGCAATTGAACCCGTTCGTTGCTAGGGCTGTTCATGGGTTGGGTTGGTGCAGAGTAGGACTTTTTTTTCCCGTCTCAAAGGGTGCGGGTTGCACATATTTGGCCCCAACGATATTAGAAAAATTTTACAACCCAACAATGTTCGGGTTGGGTTGGGGCGGTGCGGGGTGGGTTGGGTGGTCGGTTTCAACATTTAAAAAATCAAAGACTTAAAGTTCAATATAATATTCAAACTTCATCATTAAATAGAAATAGCAACCATCCTTATCAGTCCGGCGAGAGAGCACCAGAGAAAGTGGACAAGACGGCAGTCGAGATGACTGAGTAATGATGAGAGAGTTATGAGGGGGTTCACGGGAGGAAAAGAAGAGGAAAACTGAAAAAGAAAAGGCAAGAAGAGGGGGTTCACGGGAGGAGAGACCGAGAATGAGATTGGGAACCCTAATGTTAGCGATCCTAGGGTAGAACTTAGGCAGTTCGGCTTGGGCCGAAAGTTTGGGAGTATGTTGTGCGGGTTGGGTTGAAGATTGCGGGTTGTTATGGGCCCAACCCGCAATCCGCCTCAAACACTTCGGGCCAAAGGTATAATGAGCCACAAATTTAAAAATAATGCTGCGGGTTATTTTTTTCAGCTTGAATTGGAGCAGGGTGAGTTGGGTTTACGGGTTGTTCGGGTTTATGAACAGCCCTATTCGTTGCGCTCAGAGCAGTCCAGATCGAGAGTGGGTTTCACTCTCTCTTCCGCACGCGTCCGTTAGAGTGTGTCAACTTCCCCAGTTGCAATTCCGATCTAGTGCGGAGCGTTACAACCATTTCATGTGCGCCTACTTCTTTGGCGAATCTTTCTTCGCCAAGTATCCCAAGCCTGTTTCTTCTCAGCTTCCCGCCAGTCTTGTTCCACCACGTGGCCTGCAACCTCAGAAGCCCTAAAGCTGCTTTTTTCTCTCTACTGGCGTGGAAATTCGTGAATTAATGAGGCTTATAAAAGGCATTTGAGCCGCAAATCGAGAGAGACCCCTTGGATGAGAATTTATTCCACAGAGCAGATACCGACTTATTCACTTTATTGATTTGAGTTTATAATTTAAGTTAACATATAATTTTATATGAGAATTTTTTACTATAATAAAAAAATTAGATATAACTATTTCTGATAACTTTTTACTATAGTAAAACTTAAATTCTAAACTCGAATTGGTGAAGTGAACGAAAACTAATGGCAATTGCAGAGTTGAAGAGAAAATTTTAGGGATTTATTTTTGAGAAATTTGGCGTAGTTTTTACTTTTTAGGGATTTTTATTTTTAGGTTTTAGGAATTTGCAGGAAAGAAAATATTTTGAAGATTAAGAATAGAAGATTGAATATTAGACTGTTAAGTTTGGAGAATTATGTGAATTGAGATGCTGAAACCATTTATTTATTTATTTTTATTTTTATGTTTCAAATTTCTTTTGTTAGGGCTATGAGATTACTAATTATATTTTAATTTAATTTAATTTGTTTTTGTTTTCAATGAAGTAGTTGACTAAACGTTTATTATTCATGATTGTTATTTTTTTTACTGTGCTTAATGCTTTCAATTATCTTGCCAATATTTCATTTGCTTATAAGACCTAAATTGAAACCCAAAAAGGAGATATTTAGTAATAGCTTCTTGTAAGACAATCGTAATGTGCGTGTGACATCGAGTGATAGTAATACTATTAGGAATTGTGTCTTATAAGCATGAGATGTAATAAAATATTTATTATTTATTGAATAAAAGAGTTTATTCATTATTTTATGTGCATATATTGATGAATATTTTATGAATATCGATAAAAATTCCATAATTATTTCCGTTAAGTATAGAAATTTTAGTTGAGTCTACCGATAGTCATATATAGAATGACCTTAATATTGAGTTATTAGTAGACTCCTACTTATGGATTTGTGTCTTTTGATTTACTCAGTATTGATTCTGAGATCCTGAATCATATTCTTTGTATTTTAGAGACATGATGAAGTGAGTAGCCGTGAATGTTATTATACAAGATGAAATCCATTCCTTCTTGAGAAATAATGAGATAAATAATTCCTTTAAGGGTTGATTCGGTACTTGGACCAGTAGGAGCTTTGATTTATGAATCATGGTCCATTAGAGAATCAATGGTACTCAAGGAAAAAGATATAATTAGAGAGGTTAACAGATTTCACCTGGCTCTAATTATTAATTATTAATGGATGATTGATCTATATATAATGACTATATCAAATAGATACTTCACAGTTTAGAAGTAATTTATGTTTATAATTACAAGAGTACAATTCCAAGTTTATAGTGGTGTAACTTTTGGAATTAATAGAATTAATTAAGTAATTAAAGAGTTTAATTAATTATTAATTTTATTAGAGCTCAGAATTATAGGTCTATGAGTCTCCGCGTCATCCTTGTAATTCTATAGACACTAAGGGCAAAATACAAATTTTAGAATTATGAAATTCTAAAATAAAACACTCAAGGATAATTAATTGAGAATTAATTATAAATTAAATTATGTGATTATTTAAGTTTAAGTTTAAATTGAATTTTGAAACACACACGTAAAGGTGTTCACATAATGTGAACGCACACTACAGTGTGAATCCATATGAGATTTAGTTGCTTGCTCTCTAAGTTATCCATTTGACTTATTTGATAAGTTGTTGAATTAAAATTCAAATTAATTTAAGTTTGACTTAAATTGAAATTTGAATTTAAGTCAAAATTAACATGTGCATAAGGGAGAGAGATTTTGTTTTAAAATCAAATTTGCAGTTGGAGATAATTATCAAGCTTTATCTTGAAGATAAAGATTAAACTTTTTCTTGGAGTCTGACTACTACTCTATAAATAGAAGACTGCAGAAAATTAGAAAACACATTTTTTGCTCTCCTTAGCATAGTGTGGCCGGTTTTCTATAGAGTGTGGGAAGGAAAATGTTCTCCAAAAATTTCATGCCGTACATGTGTTGGTATTCATGGAAACATTAAGTGTTTAATCGCTAATCCCGTTTTATTTCAAGTGTGCCCACACACACGTCTTCGTGGATTCAAGGAATTGACGAGGAACGTTCGGGTGTTCTAAACTAGGTTGGAGCGAGGAACGTTCGAGGTCAAAGAATTCAAATTATCGTCCTAATCGTCCCCTAGGTAAGTAAATTAATTTAATTAATTTATTCGTGCATAAATTAATATAATTTATAGAGTATTTTAAAGATTTATGAAAATTTTTGGTTATATACGATCCGTTAAACACACGTTTCCGCATTCAAAATCGTTTCGGAATCTAACAATTGCTATAGAGTAGTTTATAGACTATTAATTTATGTTTCAATTATGCGATAATTAATATTGTATTAAATATGTAATATTTAATTTGTATGGAATAAACGTTTGTATTTATTTATGAATGTTTATATTGATTTTTGTTTGTTGCAATGGGTTTAAAGTAATACCGTTTTAGTGCTATTAAAAATACATATTACTTTGAGATATTTCACTATAAATATCAAAATGATTTTATTAAGGAAAAAAAAAAAGCAGAGTGAGGGTGTGAGAGAAAGGAAACATCTTTACTCTTTGTTCACTTTTCAGATGTGAAAAAAGAAAAAGAAATAAAAGTAAAAGGCGACATAAAAGGAAGAAGAAGAGGAGATATTTCCTAGGTGGGAGCAGGGCGGACGACACTACTCATAAGTCTACGACAGAAAATAAATCGTACCTGGTCGGCTATTTGCCGAATTCAGTTTCTTCAGCTAAATCGAAACGAGCGAAAGATTAATGGAGGAACTATTAAGCCTTTCAATTTCAATACTTATTGGGTACTAAGCCACGAACGAAAAGGTAATCAATTTCCTGCTCCAATAGTTTCTTCAATTCGATTCCAATACTCTTGCTCTGATTTGTTCTCGTCTCTTTTGAGAATACCCATATGGCAGATTTTGCATGTTCACCGTTTCTTTTGGTCGATAACTGTTATATGGTGTACAACTATTTCAATGCTCACCGACTGTTTGTCAAAATTTCTCAACCAGATGTCGACATATTTTTCCTCTTTTTTCTTATGAAATTTTATTTTTTGGGCAGAGATTTTTGAACCCTTTGTCAATTTCGTGTCTTTTTTCTTGAAGTCCAAAATACAAATTCGTGAGTAATGTTGGGTTATCGTATTGCTTCCACTTTAGTGTGTTTTTGTAAACACTTTAAGTTGTAACTTCTGTATTGTATTTACATAGTGATGTTTTTGCCTTTTTGCATTATTGGAGAAAAATCTAAAATGGTCTAATATTTGTTGGATTATCTTGAAAGAAGACAATGCTTTTCTGGTACCCTGAATTGAGTAGAAAAATTCTCATCAATCTGAATTTCTTGTGTGTTTCCGGTTTAATCAGATGACCTCAGGTATCTTTGGCAGTGGCGCTATATTTTGTGGAGAACCCATTACATGAAATCATATCAAGTTCTCCATTTTCGTATTCGGATTCAAGCTTTTGGCCTTTTCATCCCGCCCGCAGCGTTTACTTCTCCGTGCAAGCATTGGAATTCTAGTTTGCTGATTTGTGCAAAGAGAAGGGTATTCGGTGCAAAAAACTATGCAATCAGTTACTAGGCCTCTGTACTTTTGTTTTCCTAACAGGTTAAACTCTCTCTCGCTCGCTCGCTCTCTCTCTCTCTCGTTTTATGTCTTTGCGGATTCCCATTTCCTGAGTTCGTTTTGATGTTTTCAATATGCAATGCAGAGGAAGCACTGTAAAATCAGATGGGCGGGTCAAGTTGCAAATCCCATGTTCAAATCAACCAGTTAAAAACATTGTCTTCGTTCCAAGGCCTCAGGATTGTAAATTTGCGCTGCGAAAAAACCAATTGCTTGCAGTTCCCAATGCAGATGATGGTTACCCAACCATTTCTAAGTTAGAAGAGTCAAACACAAACCATTCACCCGACTCTGAAGCGGAAACCTTGTTGCACAAATGGTCACCTCCCCAGTTCGTGTGGAGAGGATTATCGGTTCTTGTTCTTACAGGGCAGGTGGTAGTCAGAACTTTAAAGGGCAAAGTTCACTGGAGGAATACTCTCCAACAGTTGGAGAGAGTCGGGCCAAAATCCATTGGTGTATGTCTCCTAACTTCAGCTTTTGTTGGAATGGCCTTCACCATCCAATTTGTTAGAGAATTTACCAGGTTGGGTTTAAGCAGATCCGTTGGTGGAGTTCTAGCTTTGGCCTTCATAAGGGAGTTGAGTCCTGTAGTTACATCAATTGTTGTCGCGGGGCGTATTGGAAGTGCATACGCTGCAGAGTTGGGAACAATGCAGGTCTCGGAGCAAACCGACACATTGAGAGTTCTCGGAACTAACCCTGTCGATTATCTTGTTACCCCAAGGGTGATTGCCTCTTGTGTTGCTTTGCCATTTTTGACACTAATGTGCTTCACAGTGGGGATGGCATCGAGTTCCCTTCTCGCTGATGCTGTTTACGGTGTGAGCATCAACATCATCTTGGATTCAGCTCGGAGAGCTCTTAATTCATGGGACATTATAAGTGCAATGATCAAGTCCCAGGTGTTTGGTGCAATTATATCTGTTGTTAGCTGTGCTTGGGGAGTTACCACCTTGGGAGGAGCCAAAGGTGTTGGTGAGTCGACAACTTCATCCGTCGTCATCTCTCTTGTCGGTATTTTTATTGCAGATTTCGTATTGTCTTATTTCTTTTTCCAGGGTGTCGGGGATTCATTAAAGAATTGTGTATAAAATAAGTTATGGTCATCTAGTGTTGTTCAATTTTGTGTGACTTATGTTTTCTGTTTTGGTGGATGTTTGAGTAAAAAAACTAGCTAAGCATGGAATGAATCAAATTCTTGCTTCAATAATTTGCATGCCTTTTCGATTTCATTGTATGTCTTCTCTTCTGCATTTGGTGAGTTTCTATGCCATGATATTTGGAAGGTTAACTTTGAAACAATATCGTAAATAGCTTGTTCTACACGTGATCAGAAAAAAAGAAGTAACTACTTTTGCCCAAAAAGAAAAAAGGGACAAAGAAGAAGTGACCAATTTTCTTGCTTTTTGGCTCTTTCATTTCCGAAAAAAAAAAAAAGATATCCAGTTTTCTAGTCTTCAGGTCATTGGTCGAACTAATAAGCAACAAAAAACTTTTAGGATTAATTTCTAAAGTTGCCTCTTGAAGCGTGGGGTGGAGGCGCGGAGCCACCCACGGATGAGCGTGGGCGGCCGCGCCACCTGAACTTTTTTCTTTTTCTTTTTTTATTTTATTTTAAAAATTTTATATATGAAATTTTATAAAATTGGTATTTTGCCCCTTAAAATTTTACCTCTTTATTTTTCCTTCCTAATTAGTTCAGTCATGCCTGAAGCCCCCGTCCCCGCCCCGAGATTAATTTCTTTAGCTCCACCCTCAGTTAGTCTCAGCTTTGCACCTAACTTTGCAACTTTATAGTAATATTGATGTAGAGAGTTCTAGATATAAGCAATCGTTTTTATATTTTATTGTCTTTTTTTAGCTTTCTAATTTAACTTAGTTTTGTTATTAGTATGTCGTTTATCTTAGTTATTATTTTGTTATCATTTCTATGTGAGCTATAAGTAGCCACTTTGCCTATTGTAAAAGGAAGACTTGAATATATTGGTAATTGACTCCAATTTAGGGGTTTTCACCTTGTGGGGTTCCTTTAGGTGGATTCGAGAATCCTCCGTCCTGGTTAGGCCTGTATAATTTTATCTCTATTCATTCCGTTGCATCATTTGATATCAGAGCTCTCAATCTTTACCGAGGTTCGACACCATTTCGGTGACTGGAGCCACTTCGACGCCGATAAGCGTGAAATTTCACACTACCAGAGTTACAGGTTGTAACTCTCGACGGTGGAGTGCATACTAACGAATTCGATCTCCACCACCTTCTCCACCACCACTTCATCTTCACCATGATATTTCTCCACCGCCCCTTCATCTCCGTATTTACTGAAGCACCACCAACACCATACTTCCTGACGTAACCTATACCTTCTTCACCACCAGCACATCACCACCGACTAATTCACAACCACCTCATACCTACATCCAAACTCATTCGCCTCTATCAATGTCCACATTCACCAAAGCCACCAACACACACCACATGGGAACCACCAAGAGACCTTGGAATCGATGTAGATCTCGGTGAACGCCGTCAAACACGACTGCAGATTGACGGAAAACCCAACAATCGACGACCTTTGTCGTCGCCTTGCATCTTCGCCTTTCTCTACTCCATGCCAATGAATTCTGTTCATCATCTCTCATCCAGGCCGATGGCTTCGCTGCCTCTGTCGATGGGATCTTGACTGCAAATGGGTTCGAAATTAGGGGGTTTGATCCGGTGGGGGTAGTGGTTCAAAAGTCAAGTTTGGACGGCGAACGTCGACGATAGAGGGCTGGAACGAGTCAGAGCTGGCGTGGGTTCAACGGTGACGATGTTTGGTAGGTGGCGGGCTTTGTTGTGGCGGCGTTGTTGTCGACAAGACCTCCCATGGCAGCAGCAGTAGCAAAGACGTCCATCCCTGTTCGCGTGCTCATCTCTCTCGACACAAAGAGCTCGACAGCACAATTGGTTCATTTTCGGCGGATTTTCTCTTTGGAATACTTCTCCCAGAGTAGTGGTCTGTAAAGTTTTTCGTCATTGAGGGGAGAAACGCCTGCTTGAGGTTGGGATCATCAACTCCGCCAATGAGATAAAAGCTTCTCGAGGTATTTTTTGGTCACAGAGCATCATTTCATTTTGAAGAATTCCGCTCTAAGCCTTTAAGTGATCTGTGCTTGTTGACCACAAAATTCTGTGTAGATGTGGTTTAAAGCACGGTCAACTGATTCTTCCTGCAAGAACTGGAGTTGTCTATACTCTCCCAAACTATTCCACCAGTCTTGTAAAGAAGTTGTAAATCGTGAGACAAGGTGGAGGAGGACATCCCTAGTTTGCACTCTAGTTTGTTGTGCTTCAAGAAGAGTCCATGCCTTGAATTCTTGAAAACGATCTCTCCATTTTTGTTGGTGAGATGTCATCAAGAGTAAATATTTGGGATTTACTTGTTGATGTCTTATTTGGGCGGCGTTTTCCTGATCCTGATTCAAGGGTTGACGCTTCTTCTTCTTCATCTGAAATGATGGGCTTCCTCCGAGTAGTTCCTAACGCTGCTCCAGTTTCTTGGGTCATAAAATGGACTGAAGTGTCTTCCGGGCTGTTCGGAGAGCTAGTTTTTGAGTGAAAAACTCAAAAAAAGGCAATTCGAGTTACAACTTTATTCGAATTTATGTTCTTTTAAGTTTGAACTCGAGTTTGGAACTAAAACTCGAGTTCAAGTTTCCCCTTCAACTCGAGTTCAGAAACTCGAACTCAAGTTAATGAACAATATTTTTTCTATTCTTAAAAATACTATAACTTTTTCGTTTTAATTCTGATTGAGATGATTTTTTTTTCTATGCATTAACAACGAAAAGACGAATAAAACTAGACCCATATACCATATTAAAATTTTTCATCAGCATTGAGTTTTTATTAAAATATTATCTAAAAATAAATTTAAGTTTTGACTTACTCAAATACAAACTTAAAAAAGATTCTTATCTCAAACCATAATTCAAATGTACACAATTAAACACAAACTCAAGTTATAATTTCAACTCAAGTTATAACTCAAACTTAAAATCTATACTCAAGTTACCTAACTCAAAAACATCAAAAGAACAAGCCCTCTTCTTCTGATTCTTCCTCTGGAGTTCGTTATTCGGAGTCAAGACAGTTGATTTTCTGTATCACTTTCACGGTCTTCTTTTTGCAAATGAATGTGTGGCAAATTATTCAGACAGTGCTGGTGGATAATCTGTCACGGGATTAGGGGCCTAAAAGGTGTTTTGTCCAAAATTTAACAAAATGATTATGCTTTTCTAGCACCCGTGCCCTTAAAAGGTAGTTTGTCCAAAATTTAATCCATAACTATTGTTCTAATCCAAAATTTGTCCTAAAAGGTGATTATGGTTTGTCCAAAGCTATTGTTATTGGCCTCGTACATATACACTACCAAGTAGTGAATGGAATAGGATGGAATGGAGATTGAGTTTAGAAAGATGTTAGTTTAATCACGGATATATTCGAGGGAAAAAAACAGGTACCCTTATTTGGTAAATGTGGAAAAGTAATGGTACATATTCGTTTTTCTATAATTACTTGGCAAATATAAACAATGTGATGAGATGATTAAGATAACACATATATCATAATTTATATATTTTTTTTACTTCAAATTAAAATGATGGAGAATTCTTGGCGGTGTATGAAATATACCTCTCAATATGACAATTCTTAACCTGCAGATCACGCAATTCTTAACCGTTATACCTTTATTTATCATTGAATTTTTAATTTTTTTTTAATCCGATAGGACGTTATGTGATCTCATATGTTGATTAAAAACTATGTTATACCTATAAAGTATTTGTTTTTCATATGCATGCCATGCTACAACATTTAATTCTCTTTAAAAACAGTTGCTGTAATTACTGGTAAAATGGTACTGAGTATGTACAGACATGTTATCCATACGCATACATTTTTGTTTATTTATTGTGATGGGAGATCAAGTACTGCTATATATTTAAATTATGGGTGGCAATTCGTGTCACGTATCGTGTTCGTGTTGTGTTTTGATCATTTTTTTTAATTTGCAGTCAATCCGAACACGACTCGTGACACGAAATTTTTTAAAAATCGCAACACGAACACGACACGACTACTCTACAGGTTGACACGACACGACACGAAAATGACACGTGACACGAAATTGACCCGTGAATCCGAAATTGACACGAAAATTGTATACTTTTATTTAGTTTTTTAATTATTAGAAATAACTTAAAATTCATAAAACACTGAAATACAATAACATCCATTAAAATTTAGTAAATAATAGTATAAATTTTGAGTATAACTATCATGATATCACAAGTTCATAATAAAATCAAAAATATGTAATGAAAAATATATGTATTTTTTAGTTTTTTACGAGTTTCGTGTCGTGTTCGGGTTATACAGGTCAAACCCGAAATTGACCCGTGTTTTTTGTGTCAATTTCAGGTCGACCCAATTCTGACCCGAATCTCTTTTTTCTCAACCCTAACCTGCGAAATTCGTGTCGTTTTCGAGTCGTGTTGTCGTGTCGTGACCCATATCGCTGGCCCTAATTTAAACATCGTGGGACAAATCTTACACTTGCTGTTTGGCGGCAAGCTGGCAATTGGCAAAGTACATTGATATGCATATAAAAAACATTCTTAAGGTCTGTGTAGTTCGTTGATTTAAATTTTTAATTCGAGTTAAGATGTGATTTTATGTGAGTTTTTTACTGTAACAAAAAAATTAAATATAACTATTTCTGAGAATTTTTTATTATAACAAACTCGAATCAGTGAAATAAACGAAATTTACTTTGTTGTTAACTCTTAAAGAAAACTGAGCCAGCTATATAATAATATCCAATGACCCCTCAAGCCTCATTATTACGCCAGAAATTTGATTGAATAAAACCAATAATGATAAATGTCCTTAGCATACCTATAAAGATCTAAAAAATTGCCAAGAAAGCTTGATTTGTTATGTAAGCAGTTCCAATTAGGCACAAAACCACAACTAAGAGAACTCATTTTGCTCCCCATCTCCACTGAGAATGAATGGTACTAACTTAAAAAAAAATTAAAAATTATAATAATAACACTTACTGCTTTGTATATATTGAGTATAATTGCGTCAAATTCTCTGTTTTTATTGGTGCGGCTCTAGATTTTTACCGTAAACAAAAGAGACAAAAACGGTTAATGACACCAATAACCTCCTTTTTATTCCCAAAACAATTATGTTCCATAATATTTCAAAAGTCCAATTATCAATATGAATGATATATGGTACGGATATATTGCCTAGTATTTGCTAGCTCTTTTCTTCCTTTTAACCTAAAAAGGTGATAAAACGAGTTGATATTGGTAGGTAAATTATGTTAAAAAATATGGAAATAACAACGAACAGAAATAGGCATAACTGAAATTAGAGATTATAATATAATTGATAGTAATGCAAACAAATTATGGAAACGTAAATATGAAACAACGACAATGAAAATTTAGAAACGGAATTATCAAAGCCCGACACTTGTGTTTCACACAGTGTCCATAAAATAGATTCACCCCCTCACCGTAATGCATGGGGTTTTTCGACGTCTATCTCTCAAGATAGAACAACGACAGAAGAGTAGAGTTGGCACACCATAAGACTACCCCGTCGATGAAATTAAATTAGCCTGAAACTCTATCACACTGAACCTAAAAACTCTAGAACACTTGAGAACAACAGCGGCATAAGAATAGAGTTAGCACACTATAAGACTCACCCCCTCACCGTAGGGCATGAGGTTTTTCGGCATCTATCTCTCAAGATAGAACAACGGCAGAAGAGTAGAGTTGGCACACCATAAAACTATGGAAATTAGCCTGAAACTCTATCAAACTATAGAACACTCTGAGAACTTTCCTTAAGAAGAGAGGAAGAAGATTCAAATTTTTGTGTGTTAAACGAGGGGTCCCTCTGCAATTTTCGGTCTGGAATTTGCACCCTCTGCACACAGGCGCTCGTGAGAAGCCTATTTGCTTACTAGATTATGTAACAACAAATGTGCAAGCATATATAATCACCAAGGGACTTCAATTCCTTTTCCATGTGGGACAAGGAATTCTCATTTTTTTCCCTAAGCTTTTCATGCATCATTTTGAGTATATGATATACCCTTATGAAGATCTCTGAGAGGAGAACTCGAACCCATCTCGACCCGTCATTAAGATAATGCAGGTCCCGCTCAATATTAAGGTAAAAAATAGTGCCTCAAAATGCCATTTTCTAACAAATTATTGTTAGAGTTTATGTCTTTAAGAATAAATGCAACAATGCCTTTATGACATTTTTGATATCAATAAAGTTTAATTATTTTATATATCTATGTATTGTCCTCTTTGTGTTCATATTTGTTAAATATATGATAAGCAAACTAGAAGTTTGAGACTGTCGTTCTAAGTCTTTAGATTATGCACGTAATGTGAAGAACATGTAGAATACATGAATCTACAGATGATAGTCTAAACATTCGATCCGCAGTCGATGGAATAAAATTTGACGCTTTATTCATGTTAAGATTGTTACATTGTCTACTTTCTAAGAGAGACGGCTTGTCTTGATCATCGGAGTGAGACTTTATGGGTAGAGACATTGATATAGTTCATAGTGGTGGAATCTATTTTGAATTGGACTAAAGTTGAATTGTTTTAATTAATAATTTCATTTAAATAAAACAATTCACTTTTGACGAGTTGTATGTGATCATTTTAATTCTCACATGAATAATAAACCCGTATACTTGACTTGTATTTTTTGATGTATTAAAGGGTGACATCTTGATATTATGTAAAAACACACATACCGGTACATTAGAGATATGACTCTTGTGTGCGTAGATTATTATTCAAAGACAGGGAATCTATAGCTTCTATAAAGAGTCAATGATATCCTCTTATAGCATTATCCATGTATTGAAAAATTCGAGTACTCGGTTATTAGACTATTTTGTGTTATCTAATGGTTTACTATTTATCTTGGTACAAATGGTAGATTTTCTGATTGAGTGATAATAGAACATAAGATAAATATAATTGGGAAGATTAAATGGAACTTGACATCAAGTCGATTAGGAATATCCTATGAGAATGATACCTAATATAATAAGTCATAGACAAGAGCTAATCAGAGCTTTGTAGATATACTATATAGATTGAGAATGTAGCTATAGACTTTTAATTGAATAGCACTAGAGTTTGTAATCATGTGATGAGCTTGTCGGTAAAGAAATGCCTATCGTGATTGTAGGAGCTTGATCTATTTATGTCCATCGGGTCATTTTGCTAGCTCATATACTTTCCTGTAACGAATGGTGAATCTTAGATATACACGGTAAATCCAATTATATCCAGGATTTACCAAGTTAGCACGTACACATTTTAATGATAAATCCTAGATACACACGGTAAATTCAGGATTTACGAAGTTAGCATCACTTTTTTAAGAACCGTACAAATACTAACAGTACATCCAGGTATATTCAGGATTTATTAAATTAAAAACACTTGAAAAAGAATAGTACAAACTCTAATGATAAATCTTTGATATACTTGGTAAATCCAAAAATATTTAGGATTCACCAAGTTAACATGTACAAACCTTAATGGTAAAAGTTAGCATGTACAAATTCTAATGGTAAATACTGGATATACACAGTAAATCTAGGATATCCAGGTAGCATCATTTTTTTAAGAACTGTACAAATTTTAATAATAAATTCTGGATATACACGGTAAATCCAGGTATATTAAGGATTTACTAAATTAAAATCACTTAATGAGAACAATACAAATTCTAATGGTAAATATTGTATATACTTGGTAAATCCAAGTATATCGAGGATTTACTAAGTTAGCAAGTACAAACTCTAATGATAAATCATGAATATACACGGTAAATTTAGAATTTACCAAGTTAGCATTACTTTTGCAAGAACCGTACAAATTCTAATGGTAAATCCTAAATATACACAATAAATTTAAGATTTATCAAGTTAACATGTACAAACTCTAATGGTAAATCCTTAATATACTTTGTAAATCCAAGATTTACTAAGTTAACATCATTTTTTCAAGAACCGCACAAATTCTAATCATAAATCTAGGATATACACGAGTTAGAGAGAGAGAGTAGAGAGAAAAGAAGATTGAGAAAGAGTGAAAAAACAGTAAGAAAAGGGTAAAATTGGAAGATAAAAAACTAAAAACATGGATGATCTAATAATTTTACTACATTAGTAAATTGACCAATTACGTTCATAATTTTCAAATGTAGGCTATTTCATACAACTTTTTAAAAGTTTAAGGTACAACTTGTCTGAATCAAAATTTAGGATCCATTATTATGCAAAAATAAATAAATAAATAAATAGTTTAGAGATAACAATGAATAGTGATCATAATTTGAATTTATGTTTAATAAGCACGCATTTTAAATTATATTTTTCGTTTAAACTGAGTTAAGTTATACAATTTAGGATTTAACTTTCTCATAAAATTCAACAGTTTAAACCATTTTTAAACAGTAAAAAAATATCAACTCTCTTTACTTTTTATATCTGCTAAATATAATTTTAAATTTTATTCTTTATTTAAATTAAATATAAACTATACAATTTATATTTTTCTGTTTAAATAAAAAATTTTAATCAATACGAACAAGCAAAATTTACTCCAGTAAAAGAAAAGCAAACAACACGCCGAATAAAGCCCACACGTGAAGAAGTCCGTACAGGGTAAATCTCCTCCGTCCGTCCTCGGTGGCTCGGTTCTCCCATCGTAAACTGAGTGACATTTAAAATATTCCCTCACCTGCGGGTCATCGCATCACCGCTCTTAGACTTTTCCCCATCAAGCATCATCTCTCTCTCTCCCCCAGCACGAACTTCCGATTCTCTTCATTTCCCTTTCACTCTCTCTCTCTCTCATCATCTCCGATTCGTCATCCTCGGAGGCCATAGATGTACCCCTCGACCTCATCTTCACCCTCTCAGAAGCCGACCGGCCTGACTCGGTACGGTTCGGCTCCGAGCTCGCTCCTAGCCAACGCCGTCGACGCCGTCATCGCACCGGAGCGCGAGTTCGGTGCCGTCCTCAGATCGACACCTTCGCTGCTCGCCGGTGGCCACGGCCACGTCCACAGCCACAACAACTACTTCTCCGGCGACTCGTCGTCGATCACCACGGAGTCAACCTGCAAGGTCAACTCTTCCTCCGAACATCAGCATCAGCACAAGGCCTTGCACAGATCGCACGGCCTCAACGAGATAGCCGCGAGGATCGGATCTTCGTCTTCTTCTTCGTCGTCGGCGGATTCTCCATCTTCTTCGTTGCTCCGGCAGAGGAGTTCTCCGGCGGGATTCCTCAGCCATCTCACTGCTGCTCATGATAAGAACGGTAATAGTCAGCTGTATTTTCCTTTTCTCTTTTTTTTTTTTTTTTTTTTTTTTTTTTTTCTCTTCTTTTTTCTTTTCGTTTATTTTTTTCCGTATAGTATGACGATTTTGTCCCTGCCGAATGAGGAGGAAGAAAACTGCCACGTCGACATGGGGACCACTTAGCCACTTGTTTTGGTCCAATAGGACTTCTAACTTGCACTTGAATTGAATTGTATGAACGCTGAGAATTAATAGTTTTTTTTGTTTTTTTTTTTCCTTCATTTGAGTTTAAGTTTTATTCTTTTTGTTTTCTAAAAAACTTGTTATAAGAAGCTATAAACAATGTAAATATTTAATGTTAAATTTGGTACTATGAGGTTGGGTTGTGAAATGGTGGAATTCGCGAAATTTATTTATTGATAATAAAAGCTTTTATTTTCTTAACTAGTGATTGGGTTTAGGAATTTCAAGATAGTTTTTGTAACATTTATTAACTAAATCAGTTGAGCCTTTTAAGCTTTTAAGTTCACTTAATGGTGTAATAAATGACTTTTTAATGAACCGCGTGAATATTCACGTGTTGAACTTTTTTTTTTCCCTAAAAATAATTACTATCATCAGTTATTTATTGCATATCCATTAAAATTACTCGTTTGATTTTCATCAATTTGTTTTTCGCTTTTGCTTTTTTTTTTTTTTTTTTTTTTTTTTGTGGCATAATTTGACATTTGGAGATTGAGGTTCTATTATTTATTTATTACATTCAGGTATAATCAAGTTAAACTTTTATAGAAGTAGGGATAGCAATATCAACCAGTTTCGTCCAACAGTAGAGAGGATTGTGTTTGCAATTTGCATATACCTTACGTTAATTAGCAAACTAAAGAAACATATTTTCAGTTCTTATAACATGGTCCCAAGATTTAGCCCTTGTTTGATCCTTGAAAAAAAAAAAAGGAAGAAAGAAAAGGATTCAGGCCTTATTTGGTTGGAGGGAAAGGAGGATTAGTGGCTGGATTTTAAAACTTATGGTTGTTTTTTAGTAGGAGGGAGAATGAATTGAGAGAGTGATTGAAAATCCTTTACAATCTTGATCCTTCTGAAGTGGAAAGAATTTGAGGAAGAAATCCTTATTAAAAAAAAAAAAAAAAAGAACCTCTCCTTCCTTTTTACTTTCCCCACCTAAGTGTTATAGCTTTCCTTCTCACCAAGCCCAACATTATCCTCTTCTTTAACCAATTGACAACATTTCTTTTATAATTAGTTTCCTGAAATGTTCCCTATGATCAGTTGTGGCCATCTGTCAGTTAGCTGCTAAATACTCTTCTGAAATTGGAATATGTAGCTCTTTCGTTCTTCTGATCTAAGTTGGAAATTCTTATTATGTAACTACTGAGTACGTTTTGAGACTTGTAAATGACACGATTATAGTTGTAAATGAATGTTGAATGCCTTCTCTGTTTTCTGAAAATGTCAACAGCAGCGGGGTTTTCACTTACAAGGGGAACTGGAGGTTATGGCTCCCAAGGTGGCGATAATTGTGGACATGGAGTGTCAAGGTTGAAGTCTCAATTGAGCTTCACCAGACAAGATTCTCTTTCTCAAATTTCTGAAGTAAGTGAAGATGTTATTGATGGCGTCAACTCCGATAATGGCCACCATAACGCCACACATTCTTTTGCAACTAGCTTTGGAATGGACTCCTGGGACAATACGAATTCTATCGTCTTTTCTGCTCCACCAGGCAAACGAGCTAAGACTATGGACGGAGACTTCTATAACTGTCTTAATGTTTTAGAATCTCAGGTACTATAATAAACTATAGAGTTCTCTAACCTTGCTGGACGTCCCTAATAGATGTTGTGTTAATCCGTTGGACTGTTTTAAAGATTGAATAAACTAAAGATGACATTGGGATAAGCTACAAGCATTTATATTATTTCTCCAGCAGGACTATTCGCTGAAAAAATAAACGATGCTGCTCGTTGTTAAAAACCATTTTTTGTTTCCGCTAATAGCTTTATTTTAATTTTCACATAAAGCTCACTGCATAGTTCTATTCCATTTCTCTCTCTCTCTCCTTTTTTCTTTTTTTTTTTTTTTTTCAGTTTAGCCTTCCACAGACAACTCTAGAAATGGCAGCAGTGGAGAAGCTACTTCAAATCCCTGAGGATTCTGTTCCCTGCAAAATTCGAGCCAAGCGAGGTTGTGCAACGCATCCACGAAGTATTGCTGAAAGGGTTAGTAAATATGTTATAGATAATACGATCACCTTTTTCTGAAAGGATCAATTGTTTTTCATTTTTGAATCTATGACAATAAAAGGGACAGTTTCAGATATAAGACTCTCTTTGGCTGTCATGGTATTGTGTTCTGTGTTCATGACATCTAATGAACGACATAATCTTTATTTGTTACTATTACTTATTTATTTATTTGTATGTGTTTTAAGTCTTTTCTTTTTTTTTTGGGAAGGCATTATTCTCAACATGCTATTGCATATGGTTATATGCTTAAAATTGTACTGATCTCAGATAACTCATACTTATTTATATACAGGAGAGAAGAACTAGAATAAGTGGGAAATTGAAGAAACTCCAAGAGCTTGTTCCAAACATGGATAAGGTATAATGTCATGCTTGTAAAAACTGAATCTTGCTCAAAGTTACTGGTCTGTGAGATTTAAATTTGTAGAAGATTGTTTGGCTCGAGTAAGTTTTAATGTTGAGCTTCAGCTGACTTTATGGAAAGATGTTCTCCATTTGGAGATCGATCGCTTGGACAAAGTGTCACATAATAAGTTAGACATGCTCTGATGCATATCATAGTAGCGTGTCATTAGGTTGTCCTTCCCATCTGTTGGCTGGACTAGTAAATGGGCTAGGCCCAATTAGCTTTAAACATATTAAAAAAGGAAGCAAGGGGCTTGCTTAACAAGACTAGCGTGAGCAGCATCAGGAAAGAAAAGGAAGACCAAAATGAAGCTTTAGCAAAGAATCAGGGAAAAACCGAGGGGGGAAGAGAAAGAGTAAGAAAAGGGGGTGAGTTTGTTAACTTGTGCAAAACAGCTAAGAGGCAAAACATTGTCGGTTTTAGTTCAAATTTCACGTTGTGACGTGCTTTTCACTTCTATCGATATTGCCCTCAATTTGGAGTTTTTAAGGTGCTTCTTCAAGATATCTACTTGGCGAGACTTAAAAACTTTTTATAATGTGTTGGGATATCCATCTTTATAGATGATGAGCATTATTGATGTTCCAAGAATATTATGGGCCCGTTTGGAAATTCCAAACACGGCATATATTTCTAGATGTTGCGAGTCTCTAGATAAAAGTAACAATAATGGGTTTACAAAGCTCTCCAGATAAAATTAGAGGCTCACAATCATCAAGAAATACAACATTCTTGGCTAAGCAATAATGCTTGTTATCTATGAAGATGGATTTTCAGCATAGCATTAAAAGAAAAAATCCAGGTCTCACCAAGTAGGTATCTCGAAGGAGCACCGTAGAGTGATCAAATTGAGAATCAAGACCAATAAAAGTGAAGAATTTATCGCAAGGATTCACCACATGAAATCTGAGCCAAAACTGGCGACGTTTCACTTTTTATTCATTTCACATAAGTTTCACAAAATCCGCTCCTTTTTCTGTGTTTTGCTCTCTTGCTGCCAAAGCTTTCACTTAGCCTCCGTTCTCTTCTTTTGGAGGCTGATCACCTGAGGCTTGTCAAGAAGGCCTTTTTTTTTTTTTTTTTTTTTTTTTTCTTTATTGGGGGGGGGCCCCCCCAAATGG